TCACTTTCTTCTTTAACAGTTTTTTGTCTACTGTACGGAACACCTAGACCATGGTTAAGTCCTTTAATACGCCAATCTTTACTTGTAGAAATATTAATTTCCTGACAAATACGTTCATACGCGAACCTATTGTACGGATTATTTGTCGAATTCCATGCTCAATCCTGTGGTAATGGAGCACTAATTTCTAAAAGTATACGTCTAATCTGATAGTACACATGAAATGATAAAACAGACTTATTTAGTTCAAATCCTTGGGCATAAAGAAATACACCACATCCTGTTGTGGCACACAATATGGAAAAGTTTAACTGGTTTTGCCAAAATTGCATTGGATTTTGGAACCAATCATGCACCATTTTATCGCAAGTTGCTGTGACCCTGTATTTTTCAAAGTTTTCGGGAAATTTAACGAAAAACTTAGCACCAGAGGCACTTACTAAATATCGACTGATTCTTAATGTAAATTGATTTCATATTTAAGTTATGATATAGTATCTTTGTATATTTAATATGTATGTTACACTCCCAGGAATAACAAATGGTCAGTCTATTCAACTGCTTCATACTATCGATAACTCGACTTGAAGTCGCTCTCTGCAATGTAACGTATTACCCGCAGTGGATCAATATAAGTGCTGCGAGAAAAAATAATAACTTACTACTAAATGAAGCCAAAAGAGTAACCAAAACCATCATTATACCTGGTGGGTATTACAGCCTATGCTCACTCATTGATGAAATTTTTAAGCCTTTTGGAGCTAGTCTCACACAAAATGAGTCGAACAGGATTCTGATTTTAAACACTGGAGAAGAGGGTGTAATTCTTCTCCCGGACTTAGAAGCTACACTTGGATTTTTTGGGCAAAAATCAATAATACAACCAAACAAAACAGTGCATGGAGTTAAATTACCCGATTTAGCTCCCTATAAAGAGTTGTGCATCCATCTTGATCAGATCAGTACAACGAATAATATTCAACTCGAAAGTCCTTCAACTCTGCTAAGAGTTATTCCAGTCAAAGATGAAAAATACAATAGCGGTAGAACGGAATCTTTCTCGTCATTACAATATAAAAAGTTAAAGCGGGACATTATTTCAGATCTCAAAATTTCTGTATTAGATGTAAAACATCAACCTGTACATAAAGGATACTTGAGTGTAACACTCCATATTATAAATAATGGTTGATTCATCAGGCCCTGGAGTGCATAACCTTAGACAATGTAATACAATTGCACTTTCTGATCTTGGAGACACAGAAGGATTCGATAAACCCGGTACCAATGGCAAGTTATACGCTTTACATTTACAAGATAATGTATACAAGCGGAAAGAAGTTGTATTCACAGGTAATCTAGGAGATATAAGTGATGTCGACACTAGTAGACTCAATAAAAACACTCCATACAATCTTACTCGCAATGATGATAATAAATGGACTATGGTCGAAGAAAAAATCGAGTGGCTACTGAATATTGTCATTGCCCCACCATATGTGATGAAGGGTAAGGGACATCAATTAACTAAGATAATGTATAGTGGGATCGTACTAGGGGCTTATATCCCCTCAAAATGAAAAAGTGTGTTAGTCTCTCCCCTGCCAGAAAACCCAGGTCATATGTTATTGAGTCGTCCAGCATTAAAAAATGTTAGTTTAAATTTGGTTACTGAATTCAATGATATAAAACAGAACTTGAATGCAATACCTGATCTTTCTACACTTATTATTGAAGTCTTGTTTGGAGATGCACCAGAAGTTGCCTTCGAGATATTACCATGTCTATCAATTAAATGGCTCAAGAAACACGAGCGTCAACGTTGTAGTATTATTTATATGGGAGGATCACCCGTTGCCACCCTTGAGGGGGTCCAAATTATTAAAAGTGATAGCATTTCTCTTAATAAGATATTTATGCCGCATAATATACATTTAATAAGATTGATGTATACTCTCAAAACATTTAAGGAGGACCAATTAAAGACTATTATATGATGTAATAATATACATTATGGGTTTATATCCGGCGCTTGATGAAGCATCTGAAAAGATGGATACTGTTGATGGATTTCGATTACATCAAATAAGCGACTTAAAACATCGAATAGATAAGGAGAGGGAGTTTAGACTTGGATTGTATAACAAATATTGCAGAGCTGTGAATTCTCTCGACGGGGTTGACACTGCGCTTGTAACGGTTAGCATGGGACTCAGTGTAGCCGGTGTTGGTTTATTATCAACTATAATCGCCGCGCCTATCGTACTTGGTATGGAAGTAGCAGCTGGAGTCTCAGGACTGGCAGGAATAGCGATAAAATGTATTTCTCGTAAGTTGCAAAAGAAAGCAATAAAACATGATAATGTTCGGATACTCGCCGAAACAAAGTTGAACAGCATTGAGGATCATATTTCAACAGCACTGGCTGATTGTAAGATATCCGAGGAGGAGTTTCATTTAGTGTTGTCTGAACTCACCAAATACAACGCAATGAAGCAGGAGATTCGATCAAATTCTCGTAAGACCAGGGGTATTAGCGAAGACGAGAAAAATGAAGTTCATAGAACAGGGGAGACAACAAGCGTGTCAATTATTCCGCGCCAAAACCAAAGAGCTGGTTGGAGATTAAAAATAGATTGTTTACTATCATTGGATCACATTTAAATGAATGCTTACATTAGTAAAATGTTGGATATCACTTTGTTCAAAATAATAGTATGTGTATGAGAAATAATATAGAATATTTTCATTACAATTTAGTATAGTCTCATGATGATTTTTGAATTGCATCATCATTTTGACATAAGAAATTCCCTCTGTAGTGGTGGTATGTATAGGTATATAAATCTGGCTCCAGTGGGGTTGTGGTAAAACTGTCATTGTCTATAAAAAATTATATCATAGAAGCATTGATTGGCTTCAGGTGGTGGTGAGCTAGAGTCAATTTAGCTTAATCTCATGATGATCATTGAATCACATCATCATTTTGACATAAAAAAATCCCTCTGTAGTGGCAGTATAGGAATATAAATCTGGCTCCAGTGGAAGTGAGCCAGAACCCCCATCATCTATACTGCTAGAGAATTTGGACCTGTTCCAAGTTGATGTTGTGATCAGGGCAGTTGCTGATATGGTCTGAGATGGCTGAAGATTATTGTACTCTTGTGACTGGCATGGGGCGGGATGTTTCACTTCCCTAACTTCCTATTACTTTGTCTAGATACTGTAAATCTTGAAATTAAAGTAAGCGTAAACTAAATGCAAAAAATGCGAGTGGTCCTTGTTTGCATTAATGAAACTTTGCATTTATGTCTCCAAAATGACTATCAACAATTAAGACAGCCTCACTGCACACTTTTGATAGTGGAAATACCAACTTGAATATAAACACAAAAGCGTTTATCGAGCAGCAGTTGTAACACGTAACAAATTGCAACGTCAAGCAAAGAATAGGAATTACATAATAGGCATCCATTGAGTTATCACTGCTGGGGTCAAACTGGAAACCATTGTCTCTCCTTTGTCTCCGCATACCAATCAGTGAACTGGTATTGGTTCAATTATTATATTGCCTTCAAACTTCCTTACTGCCACTCAACAGATTTTAAGAAAACACTGTTTATTGTTTTTTACGGAAGAGTTATTTGCTGTTTGATTGGATTAAGGTAAGGGGATGTATCATTCACTGGGGATGTAGTTGGGGGGAGTCACATTGATATTGAGTCGCATATTTGGCTAGGCGTCAGTAGTCGTATTAATTTGGAGACGCATTAATTTCAAGATTTACATTAATGCATCCACTTGCATAGCCATTGGGTCTGGTAATGACATAGACCAGAAATTGGTTGTTTACATGGGTCCAGATGTGGCATGTCCCACAGCAAGGCTATCCAGGCAAAGAGCTCCGGTTGGTTGGTTTGTCGTTTAACGCCGCACTCAGCAATATTCCAGCTATATGACGTCAGTCTGTAAATAATCGAGTCTGGACAAGACAATCCAGTGATTAATATCATGAGCGTCGATCCACGCAATTGGGATCGATGACATGCATCAACCAAGTCAGCGAGCCTGACCACCCGATCCCGGTAGTCGCCTCTTACGACAAGCATGGGTTCCTGAAGACCTATTCTACCCCGGATCTTCATGGGTCTAAAGGGCTCTGGATGAAGTGACCATTCCGTTGTTACTTTTCTTCCTTGACGAGAGACTGTCAACTTAGATGTTGTATTTCGCAGGAATATGTCTTGCTTCCATCCGGCAGTTGATGGAGTCTGCCTAGACAAACAATTATGTAATCAAGGAGCTGGATTTGTTTCCCTCCGTGCTTTTGTATGTATGACACTACGGTGGTGCTGTCTGTGGCTATCAGGACCAAGGAGTTGGACAAATGAGACTTCCAAGTCTTGAGGGTGTAAAAGATTGTCTTCATCTCTCAGCAGTTGATTGTAGATCGTTCTTGGGGGTTTGGAGCCCTAGATCTTGACGCTCCCCAGCCCAAGTCAGATGTGTGTATAAAAGAGATCTTCGGGTATCGGGAACACCAGTGGAATGCTCTTCATCACATGATCCCTCTGAGTCCACCAATTGAATTCCAGTATCAAGTTGTGTGGCATCTGTACCAGAGTCCAGAGTCCAGAGTCTGAGATCCAGTTTTGGAAGGGTATCTGTATGTCATGTCTTGGAGAGTAGTAAGGTTCCCTAGAAGAGACATTGTGTTACAGTTTTGATCATAGTCAATGTATTAAGAAAACAATGTCCGAGTAGCAGATGTCCAAGTAGCAGCTGAAATCCTGTACTGGGATTATCTCAGAGTTCAATAAGAAGGAAAGTGAGGGTACCAGGGGAGGTACCAGGGTGAAGAGTACAAAGTGAAGAGGCACATTCTGGATCGAAGTGAAGAAGGAAATTGCACAATGTTGTATCCAGATGAAAAACAATATATATATTGGCTACCTTGTCCAAACTGAGTGCACCCAATTTGACTCATGGATTATGCTCACCTTTATACATCAACTTCTGCATGGCTGCTGGAACACCTGCAAAACGGAAATTAGCATGCATTATGTAGAGTATAGTAAAATCTTAATATTTTTTACATTTGTATATTTATCCTGCATTACTCATTAATGCATCTACTGCTTACCTCACCACAAAGCAGACAGCGCCTAGCGATGGTCCCAGATGAAGAAAAAAAGGTTGTTTTCACTTTCAGTCTTCTTTTGCAAGGACCTGTAGTAGGTGTTAATTCTGCAGCTTGTAAATATGTAAGTATTTTTAGTGTAGATAAGGTATCATGTCTTTTCTATTTCAGCTTGTTGATTCAACAGAGGGTTGTGTCATTTCCTGGTTTCTTATTTATCATTAGTTGTGTCCTTATCAGTATTTGCTACTGATAAGTTTCTACCGGGTCAAAGGTCAATGGTCCAGTCTATTTTACTTCCAAGGGTGTTTTGTTCTATTGTTTGCTTGTCATTAGGTTTACCTGTTGTTAGCCAATTAGCATACCTTTCAATTCAAATCCCTTTCTCACCTGCCATTGCTAATCTTATGCTGCACACACACCTGCGCTGCACAGCAAGTCATAATGGATTGAACATCAAGTAATCAAGGTTAGTAACGATAATTAATCTATATCAATCTAAACATTATGCTTTCAATCATTAGTTTAAATCAAGTACATAAGTAATAAAATAGGTTTTAAATAACTTGTAAATATAAACAAACGATAGGTTGAGTGAATGAGGTGAGTGTGATGAGATTAGGGTCTGATTCATGAGTATTGCTTATCTATACATATATTTTATATTTCAATGCATTGGTTATTTGGTATTTTGTGTATTTTGGTATTTGATGCATATTTGCTATTATTTAGGTGTATTTCTAGACTTTGTACATATCTTTCTAGATGTATGCATGTATTTATTGATAGTTGTATGAATGACTGAAGTTGTATTTCAGTGATGCATGTATATGCCGTGATTATATATGTTATTTACAATATTATAATTAATATTTAATCTGTAGTTAGGGCCATGTGACTGTTGAATGAGACGACTGGCGGAAGGCATCTTACACTCTCGTGTCACACACAGGGTATGTTTTGTATATAGTTTATCTATATAATATGTTCATGTCGTGCATTCATTATGCATAATATGATTATCTGATGATTTAATGGTTTCCTCAGTTATGCGTTTAATAATGTGTAATTAAATTGTCTTTGTATATGAAGGTACATTTGCATCAATTAGATATCGAGGCAGAAATATATTTGTGTATCTGCTGTAATGATGTAATGAGTTATTAAGAAGCAGATCGATACTTTACATTTAATGTGTTATTGTACATATATTCTGAAACATGTGATATATTGTGATTTTAAATTGTTTCAGGAGTGTCTTCTTTATGCCTTTGCTGAATAAACTGATATTCTCACAACCCCGTGGACTGTAATCACTTGATGACTAAGGGTTACATATAAAGTCTACAACATTGGAGCCCCCAGTGAGGATTCAGCGGTGTTCCAGTGTCTCAACAGTGACCAACATAGACTTGATGATGTGCTGCTAGGTATATTTTGGTGATGTGCTTTATAGAGACAAACTGATATCTAATTGCTATCAATTGATATAATTGATTTGATTTTCATTACAGTGATTCGGTTTTCCATCCACTTTGACTGAGTCCATATCTACGTCCATCAGATGAATTGAAGAAGATATCTCCAACAATAGTATACTTTGTATAACTAGACTTTCGCCATAAAGACATTCAGATCATGTCGCCATAAAGGCATAGACTAACCACACTGTGTTGTTTACTTCCAGTGTTGTGTTCATTTCTATCATTAGGGCTCCAAGCCGAAAGGCTGTAGAGCCCTATTGTAATCGTTCTATTTATTAGGGCTCCAAGCCGAAAGGCTGTAGAGCCCTATTGTAATCGTTCTATTTATTAGGGCTCCAAGCCGAAAGGCTGTAGAGCCTTATTGTAATCGTTCGATTTATTATTATTTATTAGGGCTCCAAGCCGAAAGGCTGTAGAGCCTTATTGTAATCGTTCGATTTATTATTATTTATTAGGGCTCCAAGCCGAAAGGCTGTAGAGCCCTATTGTAATCGTTCATTTTATTATTATTAGGGCTCCAAGCCGAAAGGCTGTAGAGCCTTATTGTAATCGTTCAATTTATTATTATTTATTATTAGGGCTCCAAGCCGAAAGGCTGTAGAGCCCTATTGTAATCGTTCGATTTATTATTATTTATTATTAGGGCTCCAAGCCGAAAGGCTGTAGAGCCTTATTGTAATCGTTCGATTTTTTTTATTATTATTATTCTTCTTTATTATTATTATTATTCCGGCGTTTTTTGTTCCAATCATAACTCAAGAACTACAGCTCAGAATCTCTTCAAAATTGGCACCAAGATTCCCAATGTCCTGAAGCAGATACCACAATCCCAAGGCCGTAGGCCCAAAAACCAAGGGTAGATAACCAAAAAACAAGTATTTTTTAAACATTTATGTTGGCCTATTGCTCCCAAACCGCTTGTCCGATTACTTTCAAAATTGGCATGTGTCTGCTGCTTTAGGTGCCTGCCATTTTTTGTTCTTTGACTTTGGCCATTGGTCACGTGGTTTGGCAGCCATATTGAATTCAATGTTTTCCCAGTGTTTTGGGGGTACATGTCTTCAAAAGCATGGAACTCTGAATCCGCTTAATGAAATGCCCTTACAAACTTTCTGAGAATTATCTCCATACACAACAAATCAATATTTTAATAGCTGTCATTGGCAATCTTTGATAGTTGCGGCCAAATTTGATTTTGATTTTCATCACCGAAATTTTACTTTAAAGATCATAATTATTTTGTAAGGTTCTTTAAAGAAACTATTGAAAGTTTGCATGAAGTTAGTTTAACATATGTACTTCATTTTGTGTTCTTGGTTGCATGCTAAAAGTAACACTGCTTGGTGGTAATATGTGATTATTTATTTCAAAAATACTAAGAATGAAGCCTCGTAAAATCTAGGTAGGATTATCTCCCTTTGACTGTAGACTACTCTTGAAGATGAGGGTTAGAATTGGTCTTCAGCAGCCCATGCTTGTCTTGATAGGCGATTATCAGGATTGGGTGGTCAGGCTCCCTGACTTGCTAATTTATTTCCCAATTGCCAAATGCTAGCGTACCTTACTTTTGACGGCTGGGCCACCTGGCCCCCCGACACCCCCAGAACAGGCCAATTTCTTGCGGCCATGTCCAACCTGCCTACAGTTACTATGTTTTACGACGTTGGTACAAACAAACCATTTGAGGATTCGAACATGGTCTAGGTCTGAAATGGGTTTAGAACACTCTGATTCACTCTGGCACGCTCAATTTCGGAGCGGTGATGTCCTGCAAACGGTGACTATTTTTTGACTGAGTTGGTACAAGCAAACCCTTTGAGGATTCGAACATGAGGATTTGAGGTCGTAGATAGGTTTAGAACAGCCTTTGACACCCGGCACATGCGAATGTCATAGCGGCAATGTCCGCAACCGCTGCCTACATTTGACAGAGTTGGTACAAGCAAACCAGTTTAGGATTTAAACATGGTCGAAGTCAGAAATGGGTTTAGAAGATAAAGGGTATACCCCAGAAGCATCAATTTCGTAGCGGCGATGCTTGAATTAGACGCGTTGGTACAAGCAAACCATATAAGGATACAAACATGGTCGAGGTCGGAAATTAGTTAAGTAGCCCTCTGACACTCCGGCACACGCCAATTTCGTAGCGACAATGTTCTGCAAGCGGTGACTGGCTTTTGACGGCGTTGGTACAAGCAAACAATTTGAGGATTCGAACATGGTCGATGTCGGAAATTGGTTAAAAAACTATGGGACACCCAGGCACATGTCAATTTCGTTGTGGTGATGTCTCACAAGCAGTTTCTTACATTTGACGGCGTTGTTACAAGCAAACCATTTTAGGATTCGAACATGGTTAAATTCAAACGTGAGTTAAAAACTCACTGGGACACGTGGTGATGTCTCGCAAGCGGTTCCTTGTATGTGACGACGTTGGTACAAGCAAACCATATGCGGATTTGAACATGGACGGCGTCTGGAATGGGTGTAGAACATCCGTTCTGGGACACGTCAATGTCGTAGAGGCGATGTCTTGCAAGTGTTTCCTTACTTTCGACGGCATCGGTACAACCAAACCAATTGGGGATTAGAACATGGACGAGGTCGGAAACAGGTTCAGCACTTTATCTAAGCAATGCGACAGAAACCCGGGGTCCTGGCGATGTCAGAACACTAATCCGTTTGACTGTAGCTCAATGGACAAAGGAGCTACGCTCCCGGACTATTTGACCCCCTGCCACCCGGCCTGCCACCCGGCCTGCCACCCTGCCTGTCACCCTGCCACAAGCTGCCGTACAGCAGACCTCTGAATAGCAGACCTTTGAACACTTGTAACTCAGAAACTACTGGTCCGATTTTGACCAAATTTCGTGTGTGTATGTAGAGTGGGATCGTCTAGATTTATTATTAGGGCTCTATGCCCTGAGACACCCTTGTACACGTCAATTACGTAGCTGCGTCTTTATTTTACGGCATTGGTACAAAGAATCTATTTGAGGATTCGAATATGAACAAGGTCTGGAATGGGTTCAGAACACCCAAGAATGTTCTGGCTCCCGCCAATTTTGTCAAAACGGACTAATGACATATCAAGTAATAATTACACTAAAGCTTACTCATCTGCAATGCATTTATAAAGTGGATTCAAATTGACTGGAACTAAATGATTTATTGGTATGAGGGGCAGTCGGGTAGCCTAGTGGTTAAAGCGTTCGCTCGTCACGCAGAAAACCCGGGTTCGATTCCTGACATGGGTACAATGTGTGAAGCCCATTTCTGGTGTCCCCCGCCGTGATAATGCTGGAATTTTGCTAAAAGCGGCGTAAAACCATACTCACTCACTTACTCACACACTATTGGCATGAGATGTATTTTGCCCCGTTGCTCTGAAACCGCTACTCCGATTACTTTC